TGTACAGTTTTTGACAGCCAGTCTGGAAAAATATTGCACTTGTTGTGGACTTGGTTACTAAGCTCTTGATTTAGAGATATTTATGCTATAATCTCTCCAGAGCAACATTTTTTTTACCTGTTCCATGGCAAAGTGTATGGGGGAAGATTTGAGTCTGGAGAAATTCCATTAGTAATTAACACTCAACTGAATTTACCTCCCTCGCTACAGGCAAGATGGAATGTCTTTAAGAATTTCTAAACATAAAATGTAATGTGATAATTAAACAAAATATTTAAAGTGGAATGGAGGTAGAAATGAAAACAACCAGAAAACATTTACACATTTATGAAAAAACACGAAGTGGGCAGATGACATTGTTCAAAATGCGAGGGTTAGGGCAATGTATCCCATGTGCCTTGAAGATTCTAACAGATTCAGACATCCCTAATGTTAGGTTTGTTTAGGATTTCAACTTGTGGTTTTAAAAATGTTTCTCATTTGGTTGTTTTCTTATTTCAGAAACAGGGTTGACACTAAGAAAAATTCAATTGGATAGATCATCAACGCTGCAGGTCAAGCAAGCATTTTAGCCTCCTTCACAGTACAGTGTTATGATTTATCTGTTTTCATGATAAAAAAAAAAGTTTAAGTGAGGACAGTTTTTCAAGAGACAAGATTAAATTCTGTACAGAAATTCTTCGAGCTTGAGCTCTAGCCAGAGGTGATCTTTATTTTGGAAAATCTGAGAAAATAAGCTCCATTAATTCTGAGGTGTGGAAAGAAGGATCCTGAAATACCCCTCACTTCTCCAGACATTATTTAACCTAGCACGTTCCTCACAGCAGCTGTTCCAAATCTTTTCCACTTTCCCCCAAACCCTCCTAAGCCATATGGAGAAGACAGATGCTGAGTGACCTTCCTTGTCCAAGCTCCTCCCATCTCCAAATGCCCCCATGTCTCCTCCCACTCAATCATAAGTTCTTTTAGGACAGCCCGCTGTCTTTCCTCTATACTCCCCTTCTCCTGGTCTTTCAAAACGGAGTGCCCTATTCATAACAATCATTCGCTAATTAAAAGTTTTAAAATGAATGATTGAGGCAAAATCAAATTTAAAAACATGGATTCTAGATTTTGCTGGTAGTCAGAACCTAACTAGAGTCAGTTTCCTTGGAAGAATGAACTGAGGAAGGAACACAGCGGAGCTCCCCATACAGACCTAAGTTTGAACCTGGTCCTACCACTCATTAACTGGACAAGTTGTTTAACCTCTCAACCCTGCTCTCCCTCATTCTTCAGATACTTCATCTCAAAAAACTAAGGATAATAGAAATTCCCTAGAGCTCTTGGGAGAATTAAATCAGAGAATGGAGTTGGTGCAGAACGTGCCACTTAGTAAGTGCTCAAAATAGCTATAATACATGTTGTCATATATCATCAGTGTATCAAACCTCTGAATAATTTGCCAGATTTGCAAACTGTTTTCCTAATCTCTTTGTGCCTTATGCAGGCAAACCTCAGTTTAAAAAAAAGAAAGGGGGTATTGAAGGAGAGCTGATGGGAATTGTTTCTCAGCTTCTTCACCCCAATTTTAGAACTTTGATCTATCTCTGAAACCAGGAAAACCTGCCCTCCACTACTTCATGATGGAGGGCAGAACACATGACCTCTGCTTTATCTCGCCATCAGCTCTATGTACCACGACCCCCTTCTCACGAATGGACTCTGGACAGAGTTGTTTACTTCTATGCCTGTCTGCTTGAATCTTAGACATCATTTTTGTTCTGCAGACTCTAAAGCTCTTCCTCTGATTCCTATCAGAGCATAACTCAATCACAAAGATTTCAAGGCAGAATATTCCATATGCATTGATTTCCAGTTCACTTAGTAAACATTTATTTGATGCCTACTGTGCTTTTTAAAAAAGAAAAGCACATGTTTAGCTATAGAAGAAATGTTTGCTTTTTCCCCCCTCAGATCCTTTAAACTCCAGTGAGGGTTACCTTTTTCTTTTTGATGCTCTAAAATAATGTCTGACTATAGTGACATCTACTGGTGAAACTGAGCTCTAAGCCAAGGGAATCGTAAGCACCTAGCCTGTTGTTTTGACAGTTCTTTTTTCCTTAAGTGTGGTCCAGGCAGACCTCCAAATCAACATTCTTTGATAAAGTGACTTCATTAAAGTCACTTTCCTGCTAATGATTTCTGAATCTTAAAAGCTGTTCTGTTTAAAATAATACCTCTATCTTTGCTGAAAAATCTCAGACCAAGCTGCCAGACAACCTTTTGAAAGGACCATACTTAAGAAAGTGCACAGAACCTTAGAAAGATATTGCATTAAAGTAACTCATTGAATGGAATGGCCACGAGCCCTGGATAACATAGCATTGCCATGAACGGATGGATTCCAGGACATTTCAGGTCTCAAATGAATTATTATTTAAAAGTTAATTTGTAGGCCATATGGCAGATAGGATAACAAAGAGATGAGGTCACTGGATTCTTTTATTAAAGAAGTCATTGGTCAGGTTTAGGATTTATTTTACATATAATACAGTATTCAGTTGTTAAATTTTCAAGGTATCCATCAACAGGACATTTAACACAACATAAATACTGTGCATTTTCTAAAAACACAAGGCAAAAAACCAGGAAGGAATAACAATGATTTTATATCAGTAAATTATATTTTCTAAAATTGAAAAATAGTTTTTTTAAGAATAGATTTTAATTACCTTGAATTCTGGGAGAGAAACAACTATATAATTCTCCAGTAATTGGTTGCCAGCTTACAAAATGTTAACTACGTCTGCTGGTGCCAATGAGTTTTATCAGTCAGGATGTCTTTGGCTAGATGTCCTCATGGCAGCAAGAGGCTGAAGCAGCTCTAGCGTCACCTCCTTACACAAGCAGAAAACACTCTTCAGAAGACTTGCTTGTGAGAACAAGCAACTCTTTCCCAGAGGAGTTGCCTGCAGACTGCCTCTAATGTATCATTGGTCAGCACTGGTTACTTTGCCCCTTTCTAAGATAATCACTGGTAAGAGGATTGGAATGTTTGGTTTAGAGACTAACTGAAATTCACCCCAACCTTAGCCCCTCCCTTTGGGTTGGGTTGAGATCACTTTCACCAGCACATGGCAGGAGGACTTAAAACTGAGGAGATTCGCTGGGCGCGGTGGCTCAAGCCTGTAATCCCAGCACTTTGGGAGGCCGAGGCAGGTGGATCACGAGGTCAAGAGATCGAGACCATCCTGGTCAACATGGTGAAACCCCGTCTCTACTAAAAATACAAAAAATTAGCTGGGCATGGTGGCGCGTGCCTGTAATCCCAGCTACTCAGGAGGCTGAGGCAGGAGAATTGCCTGAACCCGGGAGGCGGAGGTTGCGGTGAGCAGAGATCGCGCCATTGCACTCCAGCCTGGGTAACAAGAGTGAAACTCCGTCTCAAAGAAAAAAAACCAAACAAAACAAACAAAAAAAAAAACTGAGGAGATTCAAGCAAGGAAAAAGGGAGGAGGATGGGTAAGGAACCAATGGTGTCTACTACAATCAAGAGGTGAATGTGTGGGGCAGATAATGAGGCAGATGTGGGTCTATAGAAACCTGGGTTGGATGGGAATAATGAGGATGCAAACCCAAACCAAAAGAAATGTTGGAGTGAGAGAAAGGTTTGTTTGGTGTGAAGATAGAAAAGACCTGAACATATTTATAAGTAGAAGGGGGATCAGTAGAAATGACGAGTTTGAGAAATCAGAAAAAACAAGTTCCTGGAGCAGATGAGAAAGAATGGAATCTCCAGTCATGAACCAGACTTTGGAATTTGGAAGACCAAATTTCAAAAAACTGGGTGAGTCCATCAGAAAATTGCCAACTTTTAATTTCTTTGATCAGAGGCTTTAAAAAAAATAAACAATTCTTAAAGTTATTTTCAATTACAATTAATTGAAAGTAATTACAATTAATTTCCATTAATTTCTCAATTTCTGAATTTTAAACATTTTTCTTGTTGACTTTCTCCAGATTTTTACTTTTGGCTATCCATTATGTTATTGTGAAAATCTGAATAAGGCTGGCATAATAGATGATAGCATTGTATTGATGTTAACATTCTGATTTTGTACATTTTACTGTGCTTATTGAGAGAATGTCCTTTTAAAGGAAATATACACTGCAGGACTGTAGAAGTGAGATGGTTAATTTTATGTATCAATGTGGCTAGGCTATGGCACCCAGCTGTTTGGTCAAACACCAAACTAGATGTTGCTAGAAAGGTATTTTTTAAATGTGAATAACATTTAACTCAGTAGACTTTTCAGTAAAGCAGACTGCCCTCCATAATGTGAGTGGGCTTCATCCAGTCAATTGAAGGCTTTAAGAACAAAGACTGAAGTTTCTGGAAGAAGAAATTCTCCTCAAAATTGCAACATAGAAACCCTGCTTGAATTTCCAGCCTGCTGCTCTGTGGAATTCAGGCTCAAGATCACAATATTGACTTTTACCTTAATTTCCAGGCCGCAAGGCTGCCCTATGGATTTCCGACCTGTCAGCCCACACAATCCCATAAACCAATTTCATAAAATATGTAAGTCTACCTTCCTTTCCTCCTCCTCCTCCCTCCACGTTTTTCTCGCTCTCTTTCATTCATATATGAAGAACTGTGACCTCTGACTATATAGGAGTAAATGGCATCATGTTTTCAACTTACTCTCAAATATTAACTCTAGGGGAATCTGGGTGAAAGGTAATGGGAATTCTTTGGACAATTCTTGTAGTGTTTCTGTAATTTTGAAATTATGTCAATATAAAAACTTAACAGCAAAGTTTATTTGAAAGCCAGTTTGGAACATAGCTTTTCTCTTATATACAAGCATGTAAACTTGGCTGTATTCCCGAGATAGCTGACAAAGGCCCATTTAACACACAATGTAGCTGAAATACTGTGCCCTCCCATGGGGATTAAATAGGAAGAAAGCAAAATGGTTTTAACAGTGATTCAATCAGAAGGTAAAACACTGAAATTGAGTAACAAATTTTAATTCATCTTTACTCGGGTGGAAAAATGATTGCACAGTTTAATATTCAACTGCCATTGTGGAAAACAGGGAGAAAAAAACAACAGCTGATGGGTTGAGGAAAGAATGCTTGATAAAGAAGAAACAAGTGCTTGGGTGTACCTGGAGAGAAAGGGAGGAGAGTTTTAAGGAAGGTTTTGTTTGATTTGGTTTAATCCGAAGAAATCTGAGCATATTTATACACTGAGAGGATGGCGCTAGGGTTGAGTTAATAGTTGAAATAATATCAGAGAGAAACAAATGGGATCTTAGGCAGTTTTTTTAAATTTTATATACAATTAAATTTTTTTAAATAATAAAACTGGAGGACCAATATATAGTTAACTTTTATGTTTTCCAAGTGAAGACTTTAAACACACACGAATGCAAACACACACACGCACACACACGTACACATGACTATCCACTATTATCATAATTTCATAAAGGGTAAACACTAATACAGAAAAGGCAAAATGTAAACATTTACTAGATTTAGCATGGCATTCTTATTTCATTGAGGATGGTTTTAGAGACTCTAGCTTTTTAAGTTGGTCTTGGCAGAGCATCTATAAGCAGCTGTGTCAACACCGGTAACCTGTGCAAAACCTACTGGAGGGGGATGTTCTCAAGTACACACTTCGGATGGTTGTACATCCCCATCTCCTCCATTGTGTCATTGGTTCTTCTGAGGGCTCACCTGCCCTCATCTCTGTGGGTGATCCAGGTCAGCCCTGACCTGGCTCTAGGTTCCAGTTCCTCCTCCTCCCAAGGGCAACCGTACAAGTGGAACTGAGGCACCCACCTCCACTAGCTTTACTGAAATTGTGTTTATCTCCAAGTTTTTGAATACTTTTTATCACCAATTCTTCCCTTTCTTAATTTTCAAACTCACTTATCTCTTTCTGGTTAGTGGAGCTTCATTTGTGTTTTCGCCTTGCTCATCACCTTACCATTGCCTCTTGCAGAATTTTTTGGCTGGAGAAATGTATTAGCACTTGTTTCCGCTTCTCTAATTCATGTTAGATGCCTCTTACCTTTACAGGGAACAGTTGGTTTGGCTACGCACCTTACTGGTGAGTTTAGTGCCATTCCCTTGAGCTTTGTTTATGGCCTTTCTTGATCCACAACCTTTGGGTAAAGTCCAAGGCAATTCATCTCGTATCTGTAAATGAAAACCATGAGATCAATTAGAAAGTGTTTGCTTTGGGTCAAACAGACCTGTGTGTGTAGTGTGTTTTGTCCTCTGTCCTTCTTTAGCAATGTGATTTCACACAAGTTTCTTAAACTCGCTGTTATCTTTCTCATTTGTAACATACAGAAAACAAGAATCTCAAAAGGCTTTTCCAGGGATCAAATGAGAGAAATATATAAGGAGCTTTGACATGTGCTGGCATATGGCAGGGCTCAAGAAATCATGCCTGCTGTTATAAGCCTCCTTTATTCCTAGTACTTTTTAGAACTTTGTTGTCAAACATTCTAACTGCTAGTGTCACTGAAACACCAGGGATTCGATCTAGGTCCTGTTGCTTGCTGCACAGAAAGCCAATGACTGAGACAACGAGTGCTGCCAAGGAAGAAGGCTTTAATTGGGGGCTGCACCCGAGGAGATGAGGGTACAGTCTCAAATCCATCTCTCTGACTGATTAAAATTTCGGGTTTATATAGCAGGGAAGGCATGATACTATGTATGAGAAAACAGGAACATGAGGCATAAGGAAGCAATCATGATGAATGAGGGGCCTGGTGTTTCATTGTGTGGATGCAATGATGTAGTTTCAGTTCTTTGATACTTCTTGAGAGGCCTGGGGATCCTTTCCTGAGGAAGGAACTCAGATAAAAACAAGGGACAATTTCTATGTTTACCCAAAAACAACTGTGTATGGGACTAAGTCAGTTTTACTAGCTAGTGGAGGTGGGTGCCACATGTTCCATGAAGGAACCAAAGCCCAGAGTCAGGTCAGGGCTTACCTGAACCACCTACTGAGATGAGGGGAAACGAACTCTCGGAAGAGCCAATGTCATCATGGAGATGTGGATATACAACCATCTGAAACTACTTATAACTTTAAGTTTCAAGCTTTAAGAGTAGAAGGGCCATCGATGATAGACGGGATAGGGAAAATGTGGCATATATACACCATGGAATATTATGCAGCCATCAAAAACGATGAGTTTGTGTCCTTTGTAGGGACATGGATGAATCTGGAAACCATCATTCTCAGCAAACTGACAGAAGAGCAGAAGATCAAACACCGCATGTTCTCACTCATAGGTGGGTGTTGAACAATGAGAACACATGGACACAGAGAGGGGAGCACTACACACTGGGGTCAGTAGGGGGGAAATAGGGGAGGGACGGTGGAGGGTGGGGAGCTGGGGAGAGATAGCAAGGGGAGAGATGCCAGATGTAGGTGATGGGGAGGAAGGCAGCAAATCACACTGCCATGTGTGTACCTATGCAACAATCTTGCATGTTCTTCACATGTACCCCAAAACCTAAAATGCAATAAAATAAAGAAATGGGGAAAAAAAAAAAGAGTAGAAGGGCCAATTTCTATGTTTATCCAAAAACAACTGTCTATGGGACTACTAGGTCATTTCACTAGCCACATGTAGCCACTGAGCACCTGAAATGTGGCTGGTCTCAGTGGAGATGTGCAGTAACTATAAAACACACATTACACTTTGAGGCTTGGTATGATGGAAAGAATGTATCTCACTAATAAGTTTTTATATTGATAACATGTTGAAACAGTAATATTTTGGATCTATTGGGTTAAATAAAATACATTATTAAAATCAATTTCATTTGTCTTTTTACACTATTTAATACGGCTTCTAGAAAAGTAAAAATTACCTGTGTAGCCTGCATTGTAATTCTACTGGACAGTATCATTTTAAAATCCTGATTTTTGTCTATGAAATAGGTTGACATGTTGATGTATGGGATCTTTCTTCAGAGATCACACCTGGATATGACCCCATTGTCCACCTGACATCCTGCAGAGGATGGCATGTTGTCTTGACCACTTCTCTGGCCTTAAGCATCTGCTTTGTACTGTTTCTTGCTTTTCTCATGCACTTAGAAGATTAAAGATCTTAATAAGATAGACATGTCATCTGAAAAAGGTTGGCCAGATATCCCATCATATCCCCAAGAGTCAAGTTATGAAGAGATGGGGAATCTATTGTTAGCATATAGGTGGCAAATATTGGGTATTAATTAAAGTTAATAATTAATCATTGCATTTGGGTACAAGTAACAGAAACACTTTTTTTTTTTTTTTTTTTTTTTTTTTTCCTGAGACAGACTCTGGCTCTGTCACCCAGGCCGGAGTGCAGTAGTGCCATCTCTGCTCACTGCAACCTCTACCTCCTGAGTTCAAGTGATTCTCCTTGCCTCAACCTCCTGAGCAGCTGGGACTACAAGGCATGAGCCACCATGACTGGCTAATTTTTTGTATTTTTAGTAGAGACTGGGTTTTGCCATGTTGCCCAGGCTGGTCTTGAACTCCTGAGCTCAAGCAATCAGCCTGCCTTGGCCTCCCAAAATGCTAGGATAAAGGTATGAGCCACTGTGCCCTGCCCAGGAACAAATTCTAACTTAATCACAAGTAGGGAATTAACTGGAAGGATATTGGGAATCTCACAGACTTGATGGAAGAGCCGTACAACTGAGCATCAGGAGGGACAGGACCCAGTCTGTTTACAGGATTTCTATAGCAAGCACCCAAGGTCCTTCTCTCTGGACACTGCCATTGGACAGCTCAAGGGTGCACCTTCTGCGCTTGAGACCCTGCTCATGATTCAAATTACACAGAGAGATAAACCTGACTTCGCTGAGCTCAGGTCGTGGGTCTGCCCACTTCCTAGGCCACTGTGGGTACGATACAGATTGCCAGCTCCACCAAAACAATAGGGACGTAGGTTTCAGCAGTTCCCCAAAGGAAGGGGGTTATGGCAGAAACAATGCTTTAGGTTCACCAAATTCTGTTGCTATCATTCTTTTCCTCTTGTTGAGCGCAGAGAACACCCTTATTTCCTACCCTACTTTTCAGTTAGGTTAAAGTCAATGGGATTTGGGTAGAAACAATGTTCTCCCTCAAGACTGTTGATGTAAAATCTTGGTAAGTATGGAGTATAAGAAGTCAGGATCATCAGATGGAAGGAGTCTGGAGCCTAATCACCACTTAAAGGAGAGATGCTACAGATACCTTGCAACTGATATCAGACTGTGCAGGAATCAAGATATAAAACTTTATTTTTTAAGACTGAGATTTGGGGAGTTGTCTGTTATAACAGCCAGCACAATTACTCTGACTAATACAGGGATATTACTTCAGAAGAAAGGGGATAAGGGAAGCTGGGTATACATTCCACCTCTCTGGAAAGGGCAACAATAACCAAAAATATAGAGTCTTATTTGTGAAGCAATACCAATTTTATTAATACACAATGGGAAATTTAACAGTTTAGGGAGTCAGGTACTCAATCTTTTGATTAATTAATTCTGTTCTGCACTTATGGTATATGAGATGCCAAATTATAGTCACATGGTTACTTGATAATACAAATACCCAAAGAACAAGAGTGCTGTTCAGGGACATGAGGACTTGACTGTGTACTCATTGGGCCATGTTTCTTAAAATGAAGTTCAAGAGTCCCTCAAACCAGAGGTACACAAAGCCCAGGATAAATATGACACGTCTGCCTAGGGTACCAAAAACTTGGGAATAAAAAGCTAAATAACTGAATTGGTAATTTTAAAAAAAATTTACACTAAAACATACAGATATATTAATAATTAGGATGCAAAAAATTGCATGGATTTTTTTTTTTTTTTAAAGCATGAATCCTCCAAGAAGATTTGAGCTTGAAGTGGGCAGCCTTAGGCTTAGGGTGAGGAGTAGAATAGTGGACTCAGGAGCACAGGCTTGGAGTTGGACAGACCAGGGTTTTGAGAACAAGACTCTGACACTTATTAGCTATGTGACCTTCGACATGTCACATAACTTGTCCAAGCTCTATAACTTCATCAATATGATGAAAATAAACAGGCTTGTCGCAGGGACTCAAGGAGCCAGACCACAAAACTAGTTAGGACAGACAACTGAAGGACACAGTAAAGGCTGGTGGTTAGTGTAGTTGTGATGGTAGCTATGCCTCCAGACTCTTCTCGGCTATTAGGGGTGCTTTGGGGAGAAAAGCTGGGAACCCACCATCTTGGTGTATCTCATCTCTATAATAGGAATAGGCCTGCCACAGTCACTGTCCTTTCCTTTCTCCTGAGGCTGGCCACCTTTCTTCTGATTGGTACATTGTGCCCGTGGAAACAGCCTGGGGAAGGGAAAGTATAGCTGAACGTGGCTGGCCCAGGGTTCACTTCTGTATATTCGGATGACTGTGTATAGCTCCATTCTTTCCTGCTTGGAGACCATAGGAAGCCAGCTCATGCCTAGGTTCTTGCTGTAGCCCATGCACTGATTATATAGTGCATCGATGTCATGTTTGCTTCCAATTATGACCAATGTGAGGGCTTGACAATATCTGGTGTTTCCTTACATTGGCTAGGATTGATTATGGCTACTGCCCAACAAATGCTGGTTAGTAGATTGGAAGAAATAAAACTAAAATATATGCATGTTGTCATCACCTTCTATTCTTTTACATCTAGCTTTTGCTCTATGAGGAGAAGGAAGTAGGAGAACATATGTATCCCTAAATCCCGAAGGCAAAAAACAATCCTTTCAACCACCACAGTGACAAATGCTACAGTGACTCCCTGTCCTGCAGTCTGCTACCCTCAAGTATGGAGGCAGCATGAAGTATTGGAAAGGGCAAGGTCTTTGGAATCAGGCAGACCTCGTGCCCAGCCTCATCATTTACTAGTGAGGGAACTAGAATTTAGCACATAGGTAACCCAATTCAACCTCTTTGAACTTCAGTTCCCAATCTATCTCCCAGGGTTAGTGAGGGAATGAGACAAAGATTAAAAAGCTCTTGGCCAGGATGAGGTTTATTCAATAAATGTTAGTGTCCTTTCCAAGTAAAAATTGTTTTGGTGCCATAGAAAGGCTGACATCTGAATTGGGGCAAGACAATGCTTTCTGGGATCTTGGAGGATATAGTCCTATTAAAAAGCTGAACTTCAGTTTTATCTTTTGTATTCTCTTCAGTCATGGAGCATGTGTGAGTTTAAGTATGGTCTGCACACTCTATGAGGCAAAAAAGGAAGTCAGTAAGGTGAGTCAGGGTGAAAGCCCAGACTAAAGCAGGAAACATCTCTCTACGCATGTGTGTATGTATATATCACGTAATGTATATATGTATCTCCCTTTTATTCCTTTTCTTTCTCTTTTCCAGCAAGTCACCTTTTTTTGTTCCACCAATTTTATTTTTATTTTTTTGACTATGTTATTTACCCACATGGTTCAAAATTCAAAAGATGTAAAAGGGGATTCAGTGGAAAGTCTCCTCTCCTCTCACTCTTCAGCTGCCAAGGCAACTGATGTTAACTGTTTCTTGCATCTGTTTACTCCCTGTTTATACAAATGAGCACATACTCAACCATGATATGAATTTCACTTTTTCACTTAACAATTTTGAACATTATTCCACATCCATATATGGAAAGTTTCCTTGCTCTTCTTAAATTTATTTTTAATTGCATTATATTTTATTTTGGGTCTATACCATGACTTATTTAACCAGTACCCTACTGAGGGACATTCAGGCTAGTTCCATTTTTCTTGCTATTACAAATCTGGCTGCAGTAGTCTTTTTTTTTTTTTTTTGAGATGGAGTTTTCCTCTTTCTACCCAGGCTGGAGTGCAATGGTGCGATCTCGGCTCACTGCAACCTCCGCCTCCTGGGTTCAGGCAATTCTCCTGCCTCAGCCTCCTGAGTAGCTGGGATTACAGGCGCGCACAACCATGCCCGGCTAATTTTTGTATTTTTAGTAGAGACGGGGTTTCACCATGTTGACCAGGATGGTCTCGATCTCTTTACCTTGTGATCCACCCACCTCGGCCTCCCAAAGTGCTGGGATTATAGGCGTGAGCCACCGCGCCCAGCCAAATAATCTTGTACGTATCATTTTGCACATAAAGTAAATCTGACAGATGGTGCCAAATTGCCCTTCCTAGAAGTTGTACCAATGCACATGTTGCAAAGTACCAAAGACTTCTGACTTTTCTAAAATGCACATACAAAGGAACTAAAACACACAAACAGGAAGTGTGTTAGTCTGTTGTATCCTGCTCTGTCACCCAGGCTGGAGTGCAGTGGTGTGATCATAGCTCACTGCAGCCTTAAACTCCTGGACTCAAGTGATCTGCCCACCTTGGCTTCCCAAAATGCTGGGATTACAGGTGTGAGCCACTATGCTACCTTTGAAAGATAATGTAATTGTATGTTAATATAAATAACATTTTAATAAAAAATGACTATTTTCCAAAAAAAAAAAAAAAAAAAGAGTGAGAAGAGTGGCCCTGCCTTATATTTTTGCAAATCTAGTTTGATAGATAATAGCTGGATTCTCCTATCTGCTTCTGCATTCAAGCTGTTGCAATTTCATGTCTTATAGCCTCTGGAAAGCTCCACTCTATACCTATGAGAGAATGATGTGAAACAGGCTAATAATGTTCTTAGTATTGTTATTAAAATTGTTTTGACATCGCAAACACTTTGAAAGGGTCCTGAGGACTTTCAGAAGTATCCAATCCACACTCTGAAAATAGTTGGCTTAGATCAACTTTATTATATTTTATTCTTCTTATCCCCTACATATTTAATTTTTGCCAATTTTATCTGTTACAGGCTGAGAAAAGCCCATGAAAATGTCACACCTTTTGTTTATTTTTGTTACTTTCAGGTGCTTTGCTTTATGTAATTGTGACTATATATAATTTGGTACATACATATCCAAGACAGTTATATCATTTATATTTTATTTTTTAGTGGCTTAAAATAGTAATCACTGGTTTCTTTTTTCTCACAAATCTGCAATTTGAGTAGTGCTCAGGAGGTGGGGGGAAGGCTTGTCTCTGCTCCACACAGAATCAGCTGGGGCAGCTCACCTGAGGGTTAGAGGATCCATTCCCAGTGTGAACACTCACATGGCTGGCAGGCTGGTGCTGGCTGTCAGCTGGCAGTGCAGATGGGGCCAAGTGTTGGGACCTCAGTTTCTCCTTACTTGGGTCTCTCCACATGGGCTTCTCCTCGTGGCCCAGGCTTCCTCACAGCAATGTGGCTGGGTTCCCAGGGGGAGCATCAGAAGAGAGAACATGTTAGTCCATTCTGAATTATGCTATTGCTTTGAATTCAATTCTAATATTATTGAGCTAGCACCTGCTATAATCATAGAAAAAATAAAATATAGTTGTATTATTAGTTTCTCTCTTTCTGGTATGTTCTTGGCACAAACAGCCTAATCTTAAATCATGGCCAAGTACACTTGGAACAGCTGTAAGAATGGCCAGGTTCTTATAGCGTCAGACACAGACCTACTGGTTAGTAATGCACTCCTCCGGCCAGGCCTTTGTGTCTACTTCTGCTGCATCAGGGAGTGCCAGACCTGGCATGGTACTTTCGTGCTCACCATTCAACTGAACACATTTCCTCCTGCTGAAGTCTACTTCTGCTCAACCATGTTTTTATACTTTCCTGACCCCACCCTGGTAACTAATCATGAATCTAGGTTACTTCCTTTGCTTCATCAGGCTTACTGGTATCAATCTCACATGGTTTCTAGAATCACATAAGTTTACTAGAAGAGGCCCAGGCTCTTATCTCCAGTAGTGACATTTCCTGAGCCCAGTGGAACCTTTTCCTGTGTACTGGGCATCTCTGGTACATTTCCTGCCCTCCCTTACCCTCTTGTATACCAGGTATGTCTTCTTCTTACCCTCTTGCTATAAAGCCCACCCCTCAATTTCCAGGAGATGGGAAGTGCCAAGGTTCATGGGCTGTGAATTGGTCTTCCAGGCCCAGCTCCAAATTTAATGTTCAAATAGGCTAAAATGTAGATCTATCTTTGTGGATCACAGAGCCGCTGATAAGTTATCTTGTAGAATTCTAGGTGGATATGGTACCTATATTAGATCTAATGTAAGGCACCAAAGGGGGCATAAAACAGCATGCTTAGGGTAGTGTCCAGGATTCTTATATCCAACCTTTACCCATACAACCAAATTCTAATGCCCATTATTGATCATGGATCCATTCAGACCTAGATCAGAGACAAGGACATCTGGCTCTCTTTCCACTAGAATGCCCTCAAGAGACTAATTATGCTTACTGGGTGCATTAAATAAGAGGCTAAAAGAACCATGCTGAGTACATAGGTGCATGAGAAACACACAAGAATCAGGCCCATTCCCCAGGTCAGAGCCAAGCATAGTACCCCTAGAAGATCAGAACTAGGGCCAGAACTGGAAAGGTGACAACACCTACGCATGAAAGGACTGGTGATCCTTGACAGCCCGGCATGCGAAGATCAGCTAGGAAGTGAAAGCTGTCCAACAGCACAATTCTGTGCTAGCAGGAGGGGGCCAAATGGAGTTTGCATTCTGATAGTCATGTTTATTGTTCCTGGTAAGGCTGCTCAGGAGTAAGGACTCTGGTATAAGCCTCATTTTGAAGAGATGAGTGACTACTCAATTATACAGTCTTAGCCAGTTCAATACTTAATGTTTTCATCCTTCTTAATGGTCTACAAGCCCTTCTATGGTACTCATTTTTAGAGGGACTGGGCAAGGAAGGACAACAGGCTCAGGTATATTAGGTGATTTGCCCAGCTGGAAAGTGATAAAACCACACTAGATCTTCAGATCCTAATCCAATGCTTTACCCACTCTTCCTAGGTGGGTTACGTGGGTAGGAGAAGCTAGAGTCCAGAAGAAACAAAAGCCCAAGCTGAGCCATTGGAGGCTAACAGGTCTTAGAGGGTAAATAAGAAAAGGTAGGCACAGAAGGGAAATGCAGAAGAAGGCCTCTATTGGCAAACATGGGAGCTAGTGGTTAAGACCTATTTGAGTATCGAATTTGTGTTAGGATGCGGGAATCAGGTCAGAGAAGTGGGAATAGGGCCAGATGAATAATTTGATGTGATATGGTGTGTAATAAGGCATCACTGTGGTTTCATGAGAACCAGAGTAACAGTGAAAGCAGGCCTTTAGGAATATTAAGCTGGCACTACGACAGGAATCAGAGTGGAAGAAAGAGTCTAGAAGCAGGTAACCAGCATACTGATGTGGTAATTTAGGTGTAAGGTGGTAAGTGTTGGACTAAGATGATAGCAGTGGAAATGGTGAGGAAAGAATGAATCCACAAAACAATACGAAGAAAGACTCTTCAGGATTTAGTAACAGATTAGCTATGGGAACAGTAAGTACAGAGTTCAAAGCTACATTAAGCTCCCAGGATCTAGAAGAATGAAGGTCTCACTGGCACAGATTAATGCCTTTATTTTGGAGAGATAAACAGATTAAACCGTTCATCTGACCCTCTTGACAGTACAACAGAGTCAGATAAACAGTTTAAACCTTGAGATTACATCCCAGCTGAATAGCTAGAGGTCAATCTCTTACAGAGAATAAATTTTGAAGCACAGGGTTGAAAGGGAAATAAGTTATATTAGATATCTGCTATAATCATAACAACCAACATATAGCTTTCTTTCATATTATTTTATTAGTACTTATAGAATAAAAACAATTTATGAAAATATTTTCCTTTTCAAGATATAGAAACTACACTCTGCAAAGTATACACAACCATAGTTGTTACAATACATATCCTTGTATATACCTTGGACACTGCGTTTAAGAAACATACCCCGTAAGAGCTAGAAGAAACATCTTCTCTAACCTCAGTCATATAGTTTGACATTCAAGTACTTAAACCACATTGTTGAAATAAAACATGTCTCTAGTGGATGGGCCTAAAGGGATTTAACTTTCTAGATACCATTGGTTCTTTCATTGTGCAAGGTAAAGAACTGGGAGAGGGTTCCCTGAGAGTTAATTCACCTTAGGTGACTCAAGTAGTGGTTTACTGTCCATACTTTATCATGCAACTAAGAGAGGAAGGCCGTGGAAATTCAATTTGGGCAGGTCTCCTCCTTATCATCCTTATCTAAGGAGCACGACCCCTATGTGATGATTTCTGAGACCTCTGAGTTTTATCTAAACTCCTCCTGATTCTATAATTATCTAAGATATTTGCAGAATGATGTTTCTGCAAATATCTAATTCCAATACCATAAATTAGGTGGAATAGAGATGACTCACCTACATAGACTTCATTTAGGATCTGTAAGGTGTCAAGGCAATTGATAAAATCAGCAAGCCAAAAATTCCCCCATTGGAACTATTGGAAAAGATTTTCTCACCAAGGCATAAATCTCAGAAGCCAAGTTCCTCTTTGCTTTGGAAAAATTATGAGAGGATAGGAAAGAGCCTATAACCTTTCAACTATGCAGGCTTAAGATAATGACAGATGCTTCATCTGACACAATAAAAGCTGAAGGCTATTGCAACCTCACCAATAAAGGGCTCATTACAACAAAGAATCATTTACGTGTACTCCCTAAGTCCTGATTAACCTCCCAAGCTTTTCTAGATATTAAATTCTCTCTAACTGCAAAGTGTTGGTCTGATGAAGTTCCAGATGTAAAATGTGCTGTCTGAATTCATGACGTTAGTATCACCGTGCAGCATCATGGTATGGCACTGACATTTAACATCATACTGATATACTAGAATTTATAGTGATTTTATTTCTATGTAGAAAACTATGAAAGTCAATCAAACATGGATTCACAGGTCTTTACATTTAACATATAACATAAAGCATTACATATAATTTCATAACTATAAAAATAAGTTTAATAGCATTACCATACTTTAAAAAATTACTTTAAAAACATATACTCCAAAGTCTTCTATTTCATTTAGAGAATAAGAGAGGTATCTATTAGGGTGAGCCATATGAAACTATGGTTTTTGTAAGTTAAAATAGTAAAATCTTGGCAATTCCATGTGGTTCAACCTAATAAGATCCTGAGAAAATTTTATTTGGCATCACACTATAAATCCAAGAGGAATATATAGAAAATCACATTTCTAGTGAAGAGAAAACACTTCAGGATGGAAATGTGCACACTGGTCATGCCAAAATTTCTTTTTGTGATTTAAAGATCTGAAATCTTGGAATGTTAAGAAAAATTTAGTGCAGTTTCAAAAAAACTGAAAACAATTAAAATTATAGAATGCTAGCTGCAGTTGCTAATGCCACAAAAACAGAAAACTACTAGCCAAATTTGGCAATTTAAGTGTTTTAGAGGTGACATAATAAATATTCCAGCATTAAAATGAAAAGGCACAAATATGAGTTAAAGTATGATAATCATTTATAAAATTCTTGAAAATAAGGCCAATTCATTTGTATTATTAACACCATTAAGTAGGCACCTATTCTAAGCTTCAACTTTGTCCTCCTAAATAGAATAAGGTTGCAAATTAATTATCAACATAATACTAATTATAGCAGCATTATCAATTGTCTAGAAGGCATAGTATATAAGGATTATGGTGGTAGAACCAAGTATCTTAGGCTCCACACTGCTAAAAGAATACCTAAAATAGCCTCCCCACCCATATCCCACCAGTACCAAAAACACATTTTAAAAATTACATGTCATATTACTAGTCATAAAATATTTTGGTTTTTCTTCAATGAGCTCTCCTCTAACTAACTTGACCCCAACAACAACAAAAACAAACCAAAACCAAAGCTACCAAAAAATTGTTAGACCAAACAGACTAGCTATTCTTAATTAAAGACATACTATATTCAAAAATGGTACTTTATGAAATTTATTCAATATAACCAATGAAGCAAATGCAGATTTTCCAGATGTATGTGCATGCTATATGTGAATTAGGTGACAGCGTACTTGAAAAAAATATGTAGTTTGGAAATGATGCTTCATTTGGAACTTTGGTACCATTTACGAATGGCCGCTCCAGCATTACTGGCTACTACGCAGAGAGCACCCCCCACTGTCCACCATGTTGGCAAATTATTAAAGAAAATAATCTGAAAGATAAAAGCAAACACTACATCCATTGTCCTCATTATTGCTACTGGCCCTGCTTTTTCTATTTGAAGTGCTTTCGTGAGATATACCTGACCCCCTAAACCAAAGAGCCCAATGAGTATGAGAAATAGCCTGTCCAACCCACAGTAAGGCAGACTCCACTCTCCTAATATAAAGAGGACGATGACGCTTTCAAAGAGGCCAAGTACTACATAATACCAAATGCTCAGAAAGTAGTCCACAGATTTTCCCATTTTTCTTAGGATAACTAGAGTCAATGCAGCAAATACGGCATTTCCAATTGCTGCGAACGTTCCCTTAAGGCGGACTGAATAGCTTTCTTCGATCCCCGAAGTGTCGGAACCAAACAAAAATGGTGGTCTCACGATAAGGATCACTCCAGTGATTGTGAACACGGTGAAAAGAGCATCCCAAGGGCTATATTTTTCCTTGAGAAATATCCAAGCAAATATGGACGTAAACACTGGACTGCTAAACGTGATAACTGTGCCATCGGCGAGGGACATTGTCTGCAAAGCATAGTATATAAGGATCATGGCGGTAGAACCAAGGACTCCTCTGAGAATGAGGAAAATTCGTTGACCTTTTGGGCCTATAAACCCAGTTCTGTAAATTCAAATGAAGAAATGCATATTAAATGAAATTAATATTTGTTTTTATATTACAATTTTTAATTAAACATTTTTAAAGTACTAAATATCCAAAAATAAGGGAATAAATTATAATATCCACAAATGATCATATATCTTTTAAAAATAGTATTTTCTAAGTACAATGACAGTCAAATGTTCACAGTAAAAGCAAAACCAGTGTGAGTGAATTACATAGTAAAATTAAAATTCAATTAATATATTTATCCCATGTATATGTATACATGTTTGCAAAAAGCACAAAAGGAAAATAAACTAAAAGTTAATCATGTTTATACCTTAATAAACTCATAGGTAATTTTCCCTCTTTATATTTATTTTCTCCAAATTTTCTATAAAGAAAATGTATCTTTTTTTTTTTTTTTTTTTTGAGACGGAGTTTCACTCATGTTACCCAGGCTGGAGTGCAATGGCGCGATCTCGGCTCACCGCAACCTCCGCCTCCTAGGTTCAGGCAATTCTCCTGCCTCAGCCCCCTGAGTAGCTGGGATTACAGGCACGCGCCAACATGCCCAGCTAATTTTTTGTATTTTTGGTAGAGATGGGGTTTCACCATGTTGACCAGGATGGTCTCGATCTCTTGACCTCGTGATCCACCCGCCTCGGCCTCCCAAAGTGCTGGGATTACAGGCTTGAGCCACCGCGCCAGGCCATGAAAATGTATCATTTTTATAAGAAATACAATGTCAAGATTTAGCTGCCCTGTGTAAGGAAACTTAGAAGCAACTAATGCTCATTCTCAATCTCATGAATTTTTCTATAAAACTTGAAACACTGCTAAAACGTATTTTAGTCATTGAATATGAGACAAGTTTTCATTGTTCTCATGAGGAAAGAGTCAAAGGCAGTAAAAAAGAATATGTAGTGTTTGGAAAAGTATGATTAGTGCTATTCAAATTCTTTTTCAGTAAATATTTACTAAGTACCCACTTTGTGTAAGTTCCTGGCTAGGTGCAACTTGCCGACTTGTGCCAGGGCCAGACTTCATTAGTTTATCATCTAGCCCTGACTTGACCACCCCGAGTATCTTAGAGTTAAAATGAAAGCATGGTCACATTTGGCCCATACTTTGAGAAGCAAAGAGTGTTTCATGATAATGAAACATAAAATGGGTCAAAACAGATTAGGGCCAAGGATTTTAACAACATTCTTCTAGTGTCCTTCCTCTGACAGTATCTTTATTTCAAAATAGGGGAGATGACTATGTTAGCATCAGTGTTCTGCTGCTACCCTTAGAAATTTCTAAAGTCCTAACATCATTTCTTTTTTCTTTTTTTTTTTTTGAGACGGAGTTTCGCTCTTGTTACCCAGGCTGGAGTGCAATGGCGCTATCTCGGCTCACCGCAACCTCCGCCTCCTGGATTCAGGCAATTCTCCCGCCTCAGCCTCCTGAGTAGCTGGGATTACAGGCACGCGCCACCATGCCCAGCTAATTTTTTGTAGTTTTAGTAGAGACGGGGTTTCACCGTGTTGACCAGGATGGTCTCGATCTCTTGACCTCGTGATCCACCCGCCTCGGCCTCCCAAAGTGCTGGGATTACAGGCGTGAGCCACCGCGCCCGGCACATTTCTTTTTTTGTTGTTTATTTTTTTTATTCCCCACCCCCCACACACACACAACATCATTTCTTAAAATAGTGTGACTTGTCCACAATGACAGGAATTTCTGGCAATAATAGAAGATTTTCACTTTTCCCAACAAATCCTCAGGATATAGAGTGAAACTATTCTAAGTGAATCTGCACCATGTTAGAGATATAAGGAGACTTTTTTGACAAGTGACTAAAGGTTTTAATTTGGGGTATAGACTTTTTTGCCCAAAGAGACAAAGAGCTAGGCAGACACCAAGGACCCAACTGGTCTCTCTCCAGGGTTCTAAATACAGTGGTGTGTGGAGGTTACAATGGTTGAAGGAGGCATAATTTTAACCCAGGGAGGGTGGGGAGTTCAATAGGGAAGAGGAGGAATTGGGTGAGGAGAGAACAGAGACACAGAATAGAGACAATTTTCATACACTGTACAATATACACAAGGCATTCCGCCCTATAATAAATCTTATTTGACCCTTGGAATCACCTTGTAGGGCAGAGGTCACACAGTATCATAGAGGAAACTGAATACAGAAGTAATCTTGCTCAGGGTTACCCCTATTACCTTTTGAGGAAGAGCTAAATATTATTACTACAATCTTCTATTTGCCCTGGTAAAAGGGCAGCCTGTTCTAAAGAAACTTCTGACACTAGGATACACTACTACTTCTTTTCATTTTTTTTTTTTTTTTTTTCTAAACAGTAGTTATGCCAAAGGAAAGAAGGGAGGGTGGTACAAGACAGGGGGAATTACACAAAGAAAGCTCTGTTTTCAAACGGGGAGGTGGTAAACAACAAAGTTTCTTTCTCCCCACTTTGTTGGGTATGTGGTATATGCTTGCGGTAGAATCTTCAGTGGGTGGTTGCTTATGACTTTTCATTAATCAGAGTCAAGGGGCATAGGAACTAGTAAGTGTATGACAGGGATAAAACAGATACTGTAGAGTAAGTATTAGAGGCAGGTGAAAAGATATATACACATTTATTAGTATCTTCTATTTTGTAGTTAAAAAAATACTTACTTTCTGTATATTAAGCAAGGGATAACAACTAGCATTTGGAACACACATCGAAATGCACTAATCTCTACAGCATGGACGTCTTGCACTTTTTTAACAAATAAAGAGCTCACTGAGAAAAGGAAGGCAGACAATAATGTGTAAAACAAGCCAAGTCCAGGACAGGGTGCTTTCTTCTTGGCTTCTGAAAAAGATTAAATTCTGGTTAGTCCTTGCTTCCAAGTGTACGTTTTATTATTTTTCACTTAAAAATTGAGAAAAATGGAACAGTGTCAAAGGTTAACAGGCTGTATTACTTCCTAAGCATATCATTTCTTTGGGCCTGTACCATTTTCCCCATCAATTATGAAGAACCATAGATGAGGACAACAATTTAAACCTGAATTTTTAAAATGCCGTTTTGCCCTATAAAATGGATTTCCTATGGCTCGCTGAAGAATCATTCCTCACTTACAAGTCAAGAAAGTAGAACGCTTGCCAAGATGGTGAGAGAAATCTTTAAGAAACACCTGTCAAGATGGCAAGTAAAAAAACCCTTCCAAATGATACCTTACGCCATTTTACTGGCAAACTTCGATTTATGAAGAAAGTGTTCTTTTCTGGAAAATGGGTTATAATTGAGTTATACCGTTATCTATTGATTATCTGACTTCCCCCCACAAGTCTATGAGCTCCTCCAGGGCTGGGATCTTGCTGTCTTGTTCGTGCCTGGCACATGGAAGACACTGGATAAACATTCAGTGAATGAAAGATGATGAGAGAACTTCAGGGAAGGAGTCAAGAGTCTAACACTATTGGCAACAGCATAATCTGGGAAGGTTCTCCATTTTGTTATTTTGAACTGTTAATAAATCTGTATTTAACTTTTCATGCTTCAGGGCACAAACTCCTCAAGGAAAGGGTGTGGGTTATCTAGCCCTCTGGATCCAAAGCACTTTGTACAGAACTGCCATCTAATCCCTACTCTTGGCTTAATCTGAAACAGGAAACCCGTGCTTTCTCCAGAGCATCAAGTATTCAGTCATTAATGACAACCTGTGTGAGCTTTAAACTTTTGTTTAGTCATTTCCTATGTCTGAGTTTCCTACACAGGAGTAGAACCTGCTTGCAGTCTTACTCCTCTGTCATTCAGAGGAGAGTAAAGGAAGCAGGGTGGACGCTAAAACCACACACTGCAGGATACCTTTCTTGAAATAAACACAAAAACAGCGTTGAGGATAAAAAGGAAACACAACTGGCCTGTTAAAAATGGACGCTTTGAATGAAGAGACTCCCCCAAACAGGCTTTGTGTGAGCAATATGGCTGTTTATTCACCTGAAGCAGGTGGGCTAAGGCTGAAAAGGGCATTAGTGAAGGGCAGTGGGATAGGAGTTGGTTTTATAGGTTTGGAGTAGGCAGTGGAAAGTTACAGAGTAAGATCAGTTACAGCGGTGGGGGTAGGGGCGAGGAGTATACATTACCATAAGTTCAGTTGCAATGACGGGTGGGATAAGAGTAATTAAGATGGTGGGGTAGGGTGAGGGGAAGCTTCTATCAGGCGAAGCTCGGCTGGGCTGGGAGATCAGGGATAATGGCAAATGCAGGTGGGGGTGGGGGTGGGGGTGATCAGCCGAGGCAGGCAGGACTTCAGAGGCAGGCAGGACTTTAGACTTTCTGGGCCCTGGCTTGCACGTGGAGGCCTGACATGGCCCTCATTGATTAAGAGCACAGTGGAACTGAAGGGCGAGTGGCTATGAACAATTTGTAGGAAAACTCATATTATTCCAATCTAGGACTTTACAATGTGATAGCTATAAAACAGCATTGTGTAATAATGTTTTTTAAAATGCCCTTCTCTGATAAATATAAATCCCAGGTAATACATTTACACATCCTCAGGTCAATTACATGACTTTGCAAATTGGGACCAAAGTATGCTGGTGCACAGGCTTTCCCAGGCATTCTACACCCTGGCCTTGTGTTCAAGAGCACTATTCTCATCAGGGGTCTCTACCTCTTCCTGTTCTAGGTGCACAGCTGAGGATACTGCTTTGGAACTAACAGTCGCCCTTCCCTTAAGATGCCAGAAACCTCATTCTGTTCTGTACATATTGCAGAAACAAACTGCACATACTCAGCCCATGAGAAGGAAACTTTAGAATACTTCCAAGAGAAGCACCACAAAATACATGCCTTGGCTGTGGTCAGCCTTGGGGCTTGGCCTCTGAAATTTCAGAATTCAGGTCCAAATAAGACAGTTTTTCTTAAAAGAAATTCAACCCATACATAGAACCTCCACCCTCAAACAGAACAGAAGAAGATCAAGAACAGAAAACATCTCCCTGCTCTGTTTCAAGTATCTTCTCCAATATAAACTTGTTAATTTTTCCCCAGGAATATTTTAACTTAAAATTAAATATTTTAACTCTTTAAAGATGTAATTTCATACCCTTGGCCCTAGTGACCTTTTCCCTTAAAACACATATACACATATTTTCTTGTCTATAAACACTTAAGGCTCATGTTTTCCCACTGGGAAGGGGCAGAGATTAGAAGGCCTTGCTGCATTTGATGATTCGTTAATGAGGGTGAGGACTGGTTCCACTCAGACAAACTTCAGTCTCTTAGTAAATCATTCCAAACCTGTCGATAGAGATGAGCAAGGCTAGCATAATTGAAAGAGGCATTCGTTTATGTTCCATGTCCACATCTCACTGAAAGCTTATCTAATAATTTGGTAACTCAAATTACTTAAATTAAGTAATTGGCCATGGTATGATTTCCTCACTTAGAAGAAAACTGAAAAGTTGCTCAGCTTCTCTATCCTCTCCTTTAAGCTGGTGATTCACAATCCTGGTTGAGAATTAGAATCACCTGAGTAACACTTAAAAATTTAATTCTCTGCTGCGGTGGCTCATACCTGTAATCCTAGCACCTTGGGAAGCCAAGGTGGGAGGATCTCTTGAGCCCAGGAGTTTGAGACCAGCCTGAGCAACATAGGGAGACCCCTTCATCAATGCAAAAAGTATTTTTAAGTTAGTCTGGTGTGGTGGTATGCGCCTGTGGTCCGAGCTACTCAGAAGGCTTAGACGGGAAGATCCAGTAAGCCTGGGAGGTCGAGGCTGCAGTGAGCTGTGATCACACCACTGCACTCCAACCTGGGTGGCAGAATAAGACCCTATCTTCAAAAAAATTAATTCCCAAGCCCCATCTCACACCTACTGAAATAGAATCTCTGTAACTCTAAAAGTCTCCACTGGTTTGAGAACCACTGCTACACTAGATCACTAACTCCTTCCAGGAGGATGTGAGGCACAGGCCTAAGGCAACTACTTCTCCTTGCTTCAGTCTGACTCACACTGTCCCTGAGGAAAGTAAGGAGATGTCTTGGGACAGCTCTATGCTATCTGTTAAGATTATCCAAGAATGTAAGACATATGGGTAACAGTTCCAACCAGAACTTGAAAAAAGCTTTGTTGAGAAAAGCAGTTACAACAAGAGGTGTCACAAAGTTCAATGGTAATAGTAGTTTAAAGTGTTTTTATGGCAACTTTCTTTCCAAGAGATTACCCTGTCACCTTACAATAACTAAGTCTTATTGGTAGCAACTTTCTTTGAAGTTAAACACCCCACAAGATTCTTAGATGCACTCACATAAGTTTCTCATCTTGCCATGAGCTGCGTGAGTGTAGAGAACTGCTCTTCCATTCACAAAAAAGGGAAACTTGAAGAGTTTGCATGGACTGATTCAGCATTCCACCAGAAGGACATTCAGCCAGAGAGTGATAGGTGAGAAACTGACCTTTTCAAAGGCTGCTTATCTGTTCAATTCAGCTTGGCACAATCCCGGCTCTAGAGGCACCAGCCCGTTTATAAATGTTCACAAGTCTGATCATTTCGCTTTGCATTTAGGACAGAAATGGAGCAAGAATAGTCTTCCTAGAGTTTGTCTAACTTGGGGAAGGTGCAAAAGGGAGGGGGGAAAAGCGGAGTGAGAGGAGAGTAACAGAAATCCAGCGTCAGACTCAGGGGAGATGACCCAGAGGCAAAGTGGTGCAGGCCGTGTAACTGTCCTAAAAGGAGATCTGCCTATTTTCTTCTTGCAGGAAGCTGCTTCTGGTAGATGGTCGACTTCTAAGAGGGATGTGCTTGAGGCAGCACTTGTGGCCACTAGAAAGGACCCTCGGGCGGTATATGGTAAGCTGGGATCCTAAGCCTGATGCTCCCTGGACTCATCTCACCCCCACATTCCAGATCTTGGAGGAGACAAAACAAACGAAAATCCCAAAGCCTTCCTGGGCCTCACTTTCCTTATGTGTCGAAGTAGGGGGACTGTACATAAAGGGTTCTTCACGAGGGGTCCTCGGCTTTGGGGACGAGGTTGTGAGCTCCTTAACAAGATACGCCTTGTTCTGCAACATTTGCTAAAAAGTCTTTGTATCCCTAAAGGTTAAAAACTAGTGGTCCCATTTATCTCTGCCTTTCCACGATTCTAAAATTCTAGGACGAACATTTTTTCTAGAGTCAACGCTTTTCAACTTCCTTTTCGGAGAGCACCCTTAACCACCGGGATCACTTTTCAGGTTCAGCTTCTTCCCAACCTCACCCCACCGCAGGATGGCCTTTCTCGCTGACCCCCTACCTACGACCTCGGAGAGGGCACGTCAAACTGCAATCTGACTCCCCAGCACTGCCCCGACGATAATTACAGGAGCAGCCTGGTTATCCCAAAAGGATTGCAAACAATCGGAAAGTTTCTCCCGTCTTGGCGCCGGCGGAGGCGCCGGGAATTCCGCTTTGCAGCCCCCCAGCTGACAGCTCGAGGGTTTTCCCGAGCCCTGGGCAGGGTAGGGACGGAGGCGCGGTGGGCCCTGCGCCCGGGTTGCGGGGACCCCAATCCGCCCGCGCCCGCTCGGGGCCCCAGAGCGAGACCCACGCCGGGTCCACACCGAGCACTCACCCGGCTCCGCGCGCGAGCAACACGGCGAGGAACGGCAGAGCCAGCATCTGCCGCGGTCTGGCGCCCCCGCTGCCTCGGCGGCCGCCGCCTCCTCACTGACGCCCTGGAGTGCATCGTCCGTCAGCGGCAGCCCAGGCTCCTCCAGCTCCGCGGCCCCGGCGCTGTCCTGGGGCTGCATCTCGCTGCACGCGCTCTACCAGCCGCCGGCGAGCCGTCTGGCGCCAGCAGCAGCGCCCGGGCTGCGGGCTCTTCCGGCGAGCGATGGCGCCCGTGCGCATGCGCGCACGGCCCTCCCGCACCCTCCCCCAGGGGACCGAGCGCGTCCTCCGCTGGCCGCTTAACCTGGAGAGACCCGCCGCCTCCCTCACAGGGCTGCGGCGCCTACAGCTGGCCCTGAGGCGGCCATCCCTCTGCTGTGGTCAGGCTAGACGGCCCAGCTGCTTGGAGCCATTCTTGGCAAGTCGCACTGAACCGGTCTGTCAGGGCACAGACAAGGAAGGTCCCTGGGTTCCCAGCCCCGGCGCCCGCGTGTCCTGTGGCCACCTTTTCAGGAGGTTCAAAGAGTGGGCGTTTATTTATTGGTGTAGCCACGCATTCAGCACCTCTGGGATACCCTGAAGATTTTACAAAGCACTCTGCTTATCTTTAAATGGTCAAGGTCGCCCGCCCACGTGTTGTCTCTTTGCCACGTACCAAGGAAGGTAGAATTTTGCTGGTTATTTTTAAGAATGAATTAGTGTGTAACCATAGGAAAATATATCTATAAGACTAACGAGAATCTATTTATATTTTCTTTGCATTCTTTGCAAGAGTAGCCATACATTATTGATCTTTGGTTTTATTTTCTTTTTTTAAATGGAGACATCTAATTTGGCCAGATGTAAGATTCAAGTAATCTGATTAGACCCGGTAAAAGATATGTCATTTGGCCCCTGGGATTCACTAACAGCCCCTTTTTGCTTCATTAATAATTCTTTCATCTCTTTGCTTCCTTTATGTGTGGAAGGACAGCCTCTGTGCAAGGATGAACATATCTAAACTTCTAAGTCCAATGCCAAGCAGATCTCCAGACAAGAGAGTGAAGTTTGCTTTTACTCAGACATTTGCACATAGTGATCCACAGCTGAAACAGTATTAGACTTAAAGTCAGGAATCCTAGGTTCTGGCCCTGACTGTGTGACCTTAATCACCACTCTACCCCTCGTAACCTTGATTACCTCCTTTATTTAATAGAGATCAAGTGTTTCCCTTCCTGCTTCGCAGACTAGTTATGTAAATAAAATGCAATTATGTGGGCAAAATCATATCACCTGGAAAACACTATGCTAGAAAATCAATCTGTATTTTAAACTAGGGTAAGCATATAATTTATCCTCCAAAGTGGAACTTTTTTTTAAGAGTAAAAGGAGCTCTTCTAAAAATTATACCGGGCAATAGGCAAACTGATACAAATGGTCACCTGAATTCTAACTTGATTAACACATACTTTTGCTTTGTCTTAAAGGAGAATTTAAGGCTGGGCATGGTGGCTTAGCAGTTTGGAAGGCCGAGGTGGAAGGATTGCTTCAGCTCAGCAGTTTGAGACTACCCTGGGCAATATAGACTATGTCTCTAACAGAAAAACACAATAATAATTTTAAAATAATTGAAGGCTACTTAAATATGCAACAGGTTTGTCGTTGTTTTAGATAGGGAAAATTCAGGTGAGGGCAGTAGATCATGATTACAAAGCAAGAACCAGGAAGCTTCTCCAAACATCTGGAAAGTCAAGTGCAGTTTTGCAATTGCATTCTAAGATTTAGATGTGGAAAGGGTTTGAAGAGTCCCCCTCCCCCTCATCTTTAAATGGTGAAGACTGTGGCTAGGAAGTGAGGTAAGGAAGAAAGAAGTGTAATGATTTGAGAAGGAAGTACCCTGACTGCTCCACGTTCGACACTATCCTAAAAATGGGAGAAGGAAAGAAAATGGATACTCCATCATTGTGGACCAGGGTGACTAAAGGTGGTAAGATGATCTTGTATGTGCAGTTTGTTCCCTTGAACTTCCTTCCCCTCCACTGCTGACCTTCATATATAAATGGTACCAGTTGTATTCATTCTCCCATTTAGCTGAGAGCCATGCAGACGTAAAAGGCAACCGATGAGAAAAGTGCGGACCAGGCTGGGTGTGGTGGCTTATGCCTGTAATTCCAGCACTTGGTAGGCCAAGGCAGGCAGGTCACTTGAGGTCAGGAGTTTGAGACCAGCCTGGCCAACATGACAAAACCCCATCTCTACTAAAAATACAAAAATCCTCCCTTGAGGATTGATATTTCAGGACTTTGGTGATGATAATGATATTGAGCTACTGAGAGGTAGATCTTCTCCATAGTGTGCAGGATAGAGCAGAAATCCTGACTATGGAGGAAACTAGTTCAGAGCCTATTGCAGTGGCCTAGATGAGATTCTGACCCCAGGTAGAGAAGGCAAGGAGGAAAGATGGATTTTGAGGTGGCTAGGAGATGGAATGTGCAGAACTCATTGACTAAATGTGAAAGAGCATTGTTTCTGTATGCAAAATTGTGCAGTGTTCCAGCAGACACTCCTCTGTTTCCGAGGTGATTCAATCTTCCAGTGAGAGCAGGAGCTCTCACCGTGATACCTGGTAGCCACAGTGAGGATGGCTCTCCCATAGCTCTGGTGTCAAGAAGGAAGAGGGAAAATGAAAGTGGAGAAGAGACAAGTTTTACCTGTCCCTGCTAAGCACTGAAAGTCCAAGATCCTCACCATCCCCATGGCAGCAGGTAGAGACTTCCAGGTACTTCCAGGAGGAACCAGACTTCTGATTTCCACTGCTCTTTGCATGTCAGGGATGTTCCTAGGTGAGACATTTGTAAGTCAGGAACTATCTTTCTAGTATGTCACCTGATTCATAACATATCGGTAACTTGGTACTGATTTGAAGGACTGCTTTCTTTTTTTTTTTTTTTTTCCAAAAAATTCATGGATTCCTATCTTTTTGTTTTTGTTTTTCTTTATACAAAAATTAACTCCAGAGGATTCTTACCTTTTAAACTAATGTACCTTATGATATGACCTGGGAAACGACAGTTTGTTCCAAACAGCCCTAATGTTTTATTTTGGGAAAAATTTGTACTGTGGAACATAAGGTCATATTTCTAGGTAATCTTGGTAGTAAATGAAAGAGGGGAGCAGCAAAAGAGAGATCATGTGGGATAAATGTAGTATAGAACACTGGAGAGGCAAAATAAACTATTCAAATAAGTAGGAGCTGAGTCTGAAAATATTAACAGAAAAAAATGCCAGGAATGGCTCCTCCAAAAATTAGACATGGTTACTATATGATCCAGCAATTCTACTTCTGGGTATATATTGCCAGATGAATTGAAAGCACGAAACTGAACAGATACTTGTACATTCATTTTCCCAGTAGTATTATTCACAACTGCCAAAAGCTGGAAACAAATCCAATGTCCGTCGGTGGACGACCAGGTAAGCAAAATGTGGTAGAAAGCATACAATGGAATATTATTCAGTCTTAAGAAATGAAATTCTGACATGCTACAACATGGATGAACCTAGAAGACATTAGGCTGAGTAAATAAACCACACATAAAAGACAAATTGTATTATTCCATTTATTAGCAGGGCCTAGCATAGTCAAATTCATGAGACAGAAAGTAGAATAATGGTTCCCAGGGGCTAGGATGACGAAGGAATGGGAGTTAGTGTTTAATGGGAATGGTGTTTCAGTTTGTGATGGTGAAAGAGATCTGTGGATGGATTGTGGTGATGGTTATACAGCAGTGTGAATGCATTTAATGCCACTGAGTTGTACGTTTAAAATGGTTCAAATGGTAAATTTTATGTGTATTTTGTTAAAATTTTTAAGGGGTTAAAAAAATGCCAGGGAAAACCCTTCTAAGAGTTTGAACTTTAATCTCTGCAGACAGTTTAAAGCCCTTATTAGATTTTTGAAGTTTCTTTGAAGTCCTGTGTTCCATCTTTAAAAAGATATGACAATTTTCCATTCTGGTCCCTAATATATTTATCTTTATCTTCATATCATTTTTTTAGGTAACACATTCAGCTAGTGTTGTTTGAGTGCCCACACTGGACCTCTTACAGTTCTTAGGAGTGGTGGAGTGGCAAGCAAAAGAGACAAGCCTCAGGACCTCATGGGGATGGGGTAGGGGGATGATGGAGAAATGAAAAAATGATGCTAGCATTACTTAGTATCCTGAAAAATCCATGCGCCAGGGGAGTGGCACTCGTTTAGCTCCAGGCTCTCTCTTCTCTCCCGTTGGACAGATTGGGCCAGGAGTCAGAATGCTCCCTTTCAAGGGAGCCCTGACAATGTGACCAGGACATTCTCCAGTTCTTCCTTGCTTTCCTACTCTCTGATCTGTTCCCATGTTACAAAAGGCAGCTTCTGTAAAAATGATTTCTGACACCCCAGGGAACTTGTATCTTTCTTTGAGAACTTTCTGTTTATAAATTCTCTGCAAGTGAGGGTGCCTCAGGTTTGGACTTGGCCCTGAATGTTGCTACAAAATTCACTTTAACTCCAGATTTGTCATGACTTGGGATTTGGATTCCACTCAACTCTCATTTTGATAATTACCGTTTATGAAAGAATCAAAATGTGCCAAGCACTATTGAGCTCATCAGTTCATTTAATACTCAGGAGAACTTTATCTGGCAGTTTTGCTTAATAGTTAAAAGCAAGGCTCTGGAGTCAGAATGCCCAGGGTCCAGTTCTGGCTGTACCACTTACCAGCCTTGTGACCTGAGACACATGACAGCCCGTTGCTCTGAGCCTCTGTTTTTCACACCTATAAAGTAGAATAATAATAATATCTAGCTGTTGCTGAGAGGATAAAATAAGATAATACTTGTAGAGTACTTGACAGTAAGTACCCTCTTTTAAAAAGTATGCATTTTAAGAGATCGAGACCATCCTGGTCAACAGGGTGAAACCCCATCTCTACTAAAACTACAAAAAATTAGCTGGGCATGGTGGCGTGTGCCTGTAATCCCAGCTACACAGGAGGCTGAAGTAGGAGAATTGCCTGAACCCAGGAGGCGGAGGTTGCAGTGAGCCGAGATCGCGCCATTGCACTCCAGCCTGGGTAACAAGAGAGAAACTCCGTCTCAAAAAAAAAAAAAAAAAAAGTATGCATTTTATCATCCTCATTTTATAGATGAGAAAATTGAGACTTAGAGATGTTAAACAAGTTGCCC